GAAAAACGCATTCGAACAACGAGCGGTATCCCCTATATCATGGATCAGATGCGGCGACAGAGGATTCATTAGTTTGTAACTGGATTTAGCAAATCACACATGTGCCAAATAAAATTGCAAATGGATGAATCTTTTGGTCATGTTCAATTTGCTGCTCAAGCTACCGCATGACAGCGAATAACAAAAAGAGGACTGAAAGCTGGATTAGAAGTCATGATATGACCAAGATGCAGCTAGATGCACCGCACAGTCATCCCAGGCCTTTTATATCAGGCTGTTACTCTATGAGCTCTCTCACTTACTACACACTGATCGCAGGGGCAGCGCTCTGTACGAGTTTCCGATCCAGAAGTTTCTATACTTGGCCCCTTCGGTGTCTTTTTGGTAAAAGATTGCTGCTTGTTATTTTTTTAATTAATTCTTAGCGTACATCTAGCGCCTTTCGAACCATTTTTAATGCGCTCGCACTACAGCTCGACGCTTCAGCGGTCAGTCTGGTGCTTCTCTGAACACCATTTTGCTCTGTCCACTTTTTTAATTAAAAAAGAGGCAGTTACGCATCGCCTGAATGCGCCACCAGATATGTTGCTGCTCATAAACATGACATGCTTTATCAGTGTGCACATCGCAGCGTATCTTACAGTGCTGAAAACCAATACAGTATTTCGAACCAGTCGTCCTTGAATTACAAAACTCTGTAGCAGTTTGAAGTGATCAATCAACCAGGATTACGGACCTGCTGACAAACCAGCGAAGATGCACCTCTAGTTGCTCCTAAAGATGCATCTCAGTCACAGCCAAAATACTAAATCAGACTGAAATTTAAGCAGTAGTTCGGTGTACTGCATTTCCAAAGCAGAATTGTTAACAAAAGTTTCGGATTATAACCGCATTAGTCCCGTGGTTCGTAACTTCAATCTCCAGTTCTACGCGCTGGTTCGAAGACGATGCTTCCCGAATTAGTTCTAGAAGAATGTAAATTGACAGTGAACTACTTCAAGCAGACAGGAACTCACACAGTCTCTGCCAGGCGTTCCAGAAAGAGTCACCAACAGTCGCCCCTGCGAATGTATACTTTGGTCATTTCTGCTGTGGATGTTAAACCTTTTGAGAACGGAACATCAAGAAGGTTTCGACTTTCAAATGCCTTGCATGTGTAACCTATTCAAGAATGCAATGTAGTACGCTTGGTTATCACGTTTGGCCGCTAAAAAGTTTATAATTTTTATATCACGATTTTTCACAATTTTTATACATTTTTTTGCATCTGTGCAATGTAAAAACGCATACTGACGAGAGGTTGTTTGTGTGTGCATCTGTACCGATTTTGTCCGTATATACATATATATTTGCATCTTCTGTACCGGTTTTTAAGGCTGAATCTTTGTGAACTTAATCTGTATACATGCACGGGCCCCTATCCCCATAATGGACACTCTTGCCTATGTGGTTCCCATGTACGAACTTGTGGAAGTTCTTTGCAAGTAGGCCGCTAACTCGGGAAATTGAAAAGCTAGAAATCTGGGGTTTTGAGGGGATGTCCCCCATTCAAGTAGGACTTAATAGGTTCAAACCCAATCCCAGGTGTGCGTATTTCCCGTACGGGCCTGTGAAAATTTTTGGGGGGCAAGTTGTTAACTAGGGAACCAGGAAAGCTAGAAAGCTGAAATTTTAAGATGTTTTCTGACAGTCTTGGTGGCCAGTCTCAGTTCTTTTAGCTAGAAGCATCTGTCGGAAAAAACAGTGCCGTTAGCGACAAAACTCTGCGGGGAAGTGTGAAAAAAACGTATTTTCGCACCGACATTCAGTGCACTGGCCAATTATTCTATTTTACACTGCGTTACAAAAGCTAAACATCGCTTTCCAAACCTAAAAATTCTACTCTGCTATGGCAATAAAAAAATTCCGAATCAAAAGCTTATTCACCAAACAAGCAGCCATTTTAGCCAATTGCAAAAATGCACGATCGCACCACCAAGCCTCGTGAGTGCCGCTACTAGGCTACAGCCCAATTTTCCTTTTTGTCACAATAAACAACGTATTGATTTTAAATAGCTCTAAGCCAAATTCGGGAAGACGAGAGGTTGCCGCGGATATTTGAACACACCCATCTAAGCTTCTTAGGAAGACTGTCAAGACAGACAGTAAATTGTCTGAGGCTGTCCCAGCCGATTACAGATGTCGACTCTGCAGATCCCCTTCAAATGCATTGTACCTCAAGATATTGTGTTTTTTGAATAGATTGCGAAGATATTTTGAGATTTGTTTTGTTGTTCGTTCTGACTCCAAGAGTATGGCTCATTCAAATACGAAATGGTCAGGAACAATGGATATTAAGCTTAATTTTAGAAATGTTAGAAGAAACAAACGTGTTAATTTTTAGGGAGCGAAACCTAGAATTTTTCCAAGTGGCGATCATTTTTCTGTTCAACAGTTTGAGGAGAGAAGACACTGATATCCACTGTGCTATGCCTCCGACCCCAAAATGTTGGGAACAGGATGTAAGCACAATTACTGATATCGCCACTTGTTTTGCAAATGCCTATTCAAATTCTGATTTAACATACGATTTGGAGGAAACGCAGCGCTTTCATAAGTCGTTCAAATGTTAGTATCCAATTTAGAAACGTTTTAAATTAGTACTGAAACGCTAGCTGGCATCAGACTTCAGCGGGAAGCTTCGCTTAGAGCTGTGACTTGCACAGCGCAAAATCCATGCCATACATCTATTCAAAATGACAATAAACATTTTGAAACAAACAAATGAAACAGTCAAGGCTGAAGTGGTCTGCTCAGAACGCTTCAGCTTCTTTAGCTGGAGGTGAGTGAAGCTCAAACAGACAACTGAAAAAGGCAAAACACTGATGGATGTATAATTTGCATAATATAGTAAGTTAATTCTGGAGGAGGTTTCGAGTATGCGCTGTGGGCGTGATCCCATGCCCAGTGCTCCTCCGGATGCAGATGCTAACTGAGTGGCACGCCTCCTGGCACATGCCCGCCCGTGTCCACAGCTGCATAGTACGCCCATGCTGATAACTCCCAAACACTGACATAGTGTCACCATAAAAATACACCTCAGCGAATAACGTAAGTGGCCAGCAGTAATCGAGGTGCCATAAATTAAAATCGAGATAGGCAGTCTGGAAAATTACATCTCCCCGGAAATACTTCGAAATGAACCCATCTATCCGAAAAATTTAGCATTTCTTACTTTTTTTATTGAAATTTGCATTTGTGGTTAGCAGGTGACTTGAAGATTGACTGGTCGCCCGGACTGTCAGCGTGACAATTCCGTATTACAGGGACGCACATCAGGCGCAGCTACACAAGACCCTTCTTGCCAAGCTACGTGTCTGCAGTACGTATCGACTACTTGTACTACATATGTGCGCCACTTCATCGGAAGTTATGCGAATGGCCATTTTCTTCTTGCTGGATAACACTTAAGCAACGTCCATTAAAAGTCTGTGAAATGAACAGCTTGCTCCGCTTATCGAGTTTCACATTCGTAGTCCCATTAATGATGGAGCAGGGGAGCGGGGGGAGGGGGAAGCGTTTACTGCTCATATGGCCCATAGCGACTCAGGACATTCGCCCTATTCCTGTCTTCGTCGCAGCTAACGTGTGCTTCTTTTTTTGCTACTTGTCAGGTTTCGCAACCACGTCTCATTGCTTTCAACACCATGGCATTAAGAAGATGAGCAGAATTCTGTTAAACCGACATTTTGAAAACGTCTGTTGTTGCTATTAAATATTCATGAACTGGTTAGGCGTTGACGTTTGTTTTTCATCTGGACATTGCATTACGCACTTATTTCTTGAAAATAGCTATCAAAAAAACGAAGAGAAACATCTTGCATTTATATATACACTAAAGCACAAGTGGACAGCTGCAGTGAAACGATATATATATATATATATATATATATATACAGACCAACATATGCATATATAACTGTACGGTTATAATGACACAAATAGTTCTAAAATTCATACTCATAAAAAAGAAGCCACTGTGACAGGTGCAAAATTAGAGGTGCGAATTGCTGAGCTATTCAGTCACTGAGCATTAGAGAATGTCGGCGGCTACTTCAAAAGAAAGAAAAAAGTGACTTCTCTTGTTGAATGACATACGTAAAGAAAGATCCGATTCTGATAAACAGATCGCCCTCAGTGAGCAAGTTGACGAGGTATAACCCAGAAGAACTCTATATGGCCAACAAGAATTCATAACGAACCAACGGCCAGTAGCCGGAACACCGCTTAGTCGTAAATAACTATAGAAAGCGCAATGTTCAAAGCCGCAGAATTGCTTTACACTTCAGTTGTTTTAATTTATGAACTCCGTCCAGTTGCTGCCACGCTGCTTCTGCTCTCATCCTAAAACTGAGCATACACACGTCCTCCAGAATGCCCACACTAGATCGTCGCAATACACAGCACACGAAGACAGTTAGCCCATGAGGCTATATTTGAGGCTAAAAGGGAACTGTCAAAGACCGTGCGTTTGTGAGGGCGGTG